AGAGCGAGCGCGAGGAGGAGCTGCGGCAGGAGGTGAAGGTGTGCCAGGACAAATACTTCCAGAAGGAGCAGCTCCTCTCCTCCCTGCAGCAGGAGCTCAGCAGCGCCCAGGCGCTGGCCGGCGAGCTGGTGCCGCTCAAGCACCTCTGCCAGCAGCTGCAGGCTGAGCGAGCCTCCTTGGAGAGCAAGCACCGAGACGAGCTGGAGCAGAGAGCCAAAGCCGCCGGCGTGCTGCAGGCAGAGCTCGCTCGGAGCAAGCTGGAGGCGGCCGAGGTGCCGGCGCTGCGCGAGAGGGCGGCGGAGCAGGAGCGGGCGCTGCAGCGGCTGCAGAAGGAGGCGGCCAGCTCCGCCGAGAGGCTGGCGGGGCTGCAGCAAGCCAACGCCAGGCTGGCCGAGGAGAACCGGGGGCTGAGCGAGACCTCGAGCCGCGGGCAGCAGCGGCTGGATGCGGAGCTGGGCCAGGCGAGGGAGAAGCACGCGCGGGAGCTGGAGAGGCTGCGGCTGGAGGCGGAGAAGCTGGTGGCGGGCAGCCGGCAGGAGGTGGAGGAGGTGGCGAAGAAGCTGGAGGCCATGAGCAATAAGTACGAGAACGCCAAGGGGAAGGTGCTGGAGGAGAGGCAGAAGTTCCAGGAGGAGAGGCAGAAGCTGATGGCTCAGGTAAGGGGCTCGCGGGACGCCTCGCTCGGGTACCCGGTGCGCATTGGGGGCGCGCAGGCAGAGCCCGGTGGGGAAGGGGCACTCATGGCCCACCCCGATCTCACTTTTTTTTTTTTATTTTTTTTAATTTGAGGCTGCTCCTGGCAGCTCTGTCCCACTGAGGGGCACCTCCAGAGCCTTGCCCCTCGCTTACTGCCAGAGCTCTCGTGGCTTCCAGCCACATTGGCTGCCCATGAACTTGCTGGCCAAAAACCACTGCCCTCCAGAGCCCCACCCATCTCTTTTATTCCTAACCCACGGGGTTTTCCTAGGGCCCAGGTACATGGGGAATGGCAACATCAGCAGGGCTCGGATCCCCAACACACCCCTGAGTCCTCCTTATCCTGGGCTGCTTGGTGTGGGAGCCGGGGGGTGGCGAGGGGCCGCGTGCCCACGATGCGCTCACTTCTCCCCTTTGCGCTCTCCCCGTGCCAGGTGGAGCAGCTCGAGGTCTTGCAGAGAGAGCAAGCCAAGCAGGTAACGCACGCCAAGGGCCGGCTGCTTAAACGGTGACGGTGACGGCGCGTGGCCCCGGCCCCTTCCCAGCAGAGCCCCCTCCTCATCAGCCGTTTGCAGCGGGGACCCTGCTGCGGGGGTGTCCCCGGAGCGCGTGCCGCAGGCGCTGCTTTGCTCCAGGTCTCTGGGCTCGCGCATCCGCCCCGTGGGGAGTAGGAACGGGGGGGCCAAATCCTCAGCTCGGGCAACAACCCCGTGCTGAAATCTGGCACGGATCAGCCCCATGGGGCTGGGCCTCCTCGGGTCTGCTAATGGCACGCAGGGTGCTGGGCGCGGGGTGCAAGGAGCCGTCCTGCGCACCGGGGGGGCCGTGGGAGGGAGGAATTCACAACTGGGGCTGGGGGAGTTTGTGGCCAGGGGCTGGTGTAACAATCCTGTGCCCTTCCAGGTGGAGGAGCTGAATAAAAAGCTGACCCAGCACGAAAAGGCCACCCGCAGCCAGCAGCAGCGGGTCAAGGTATGTCCATGGGGACCTGAAGCTGACTCCTGAGCCGGAGCTGTCCCCGGTGAGCCCTGCGGCTCTCGGTGGCCCCTTGGGCTCCCCGAGGGTGGCTCTGACCCCGCCGCCTTCCCTCCCCACGAGCAGGTGCTGGAAGGGGAGCTGCAGACCGAGGCCACCCGCCAGCAGGAGAAGGTGGCGGAGCTGCAGGAGCAGCTGGCCCAGAAGGAGCAGGCGGCCGAGCACTACAAAGCCCAGGTTAGGCTGCGAGGGGGCACCCCAAACCCCAGCCCTGCCCCACGGGAGGCTCGGTGGGTTGCAGCTTCCCCCTTCTCCTGCTTCGTCCCAGATGGAGAAGGCGAAAACTCACTACGACGCCAAGAAGCAGCAGAACCAGGACCTGGCGGAGAAGCTGAAGGCGATGGAGCAGCTGCAGAAGGAGAACGCGGAGCTGAGGACGGAGTCGGAGAGGTTGGCCAAGGAGCTGCAGCAGAGCCTGGAGCAGGCCAAGGAGTCGGAGCTGAGCTGCAGGAACCTCGCCAGCCAGGTCCGCAGCCTGGAGGCTCAGGTGGGCATGGCGCAGGGGGGGCTCTGCCTTCCTCCTCCTCCTCCTCCTCCTCCTCCTCCTCGCCTGGAGGGGCTGGCTTCTCACCGCTCCTCTCCCAGGTGGAGTTTGCCGACCGGCAGCTGCGGGAGCTGGGCAAGTTCCAGGTGCCGACGGACGCCCTGAAGGGCTGGGAAGCTTTCCGCCAGAAACCCGCCGACCTCAGCACCGACAGCCTCGACCTCAGCCTGGACGAGCTGCAGCCGCTCAACTCCACCAGGTAAGCACGGCTCGGAGGGCTCTGCTCTGCCACCAGCATCACCAATTTGCTGCCAGCATCGCCAGCTCCGGCTCCTGGTGGCCAACCCTTGCGTCCTGCCCCCTACTTTCCAGCAGGAAAGTCACCCGCTCGCAGTCGGAGGCCTCGGCGGTGCCGGAGAGCGCGGAGTCGCGGGGGTCCCAGCGGCTGCCCCGTAAGGTGGAGTCCCTGGAGAGCCTGTACTTCACGCCCATCCCCAACCGCACGCAGTCCAAGCTGGAGAGCAGCGCCAGCTCCCTGGGCGACCTCTCCCTCGACTCGGGCTGCAGGACGCGCTCGGCGCGGCGCCGCACCACGCAGATCATCAACATCACCATGACCAAAGTGAGGGCACGGCACACGGCTCAGCGCGGTGCGGGGGGCTCTCCGTGGGCTCTGACCCTGTTGTTTTTTTTTTTGTTGCTTTTTTTTTTGTTTTCTCTCTCCCAGAAAGAGCCCAAGACGGAGGAACCGCTGAGCGCAGACACCTCCTTCTGCAGTGTGCGCTCGGAGCAGCCCCAAAAAAACCGCCCCGGGCAAGGGTCGCCTGCGCTCGGCCGCCTCTGCCCGCTCCCTCGCCAGCTTCCCCTCGCAGGAATCCCTCTCCAAGCCCGAGACCTCGTCCCCCCAGGAGCCCCCCGGCCACTCGGCGCTGCTCAGCCTCCCCGGCTACCGCCCGGCCACGCGCAGCTCCTTGAGGCGCTCGCAGGCGGGCAGCAGCTCCAGCCTGGGTGAGTCGGGGCAGGGGGCTGGGGTTTGAGGTTGGGGGGGGCTGCGCTTTGCTGGACCCCCTCCCGTGGCCCTCACCGCTTTGTTTTTTAGGCCGGAGCAGCATCTACCTGGGGTCGTGCCAGGACGAGCCGGAGCAGCTGGACGACTGGAACCGCATCGCCGAGCTGCAGCAGCGCAACCGCGCCTGCCCCCCACACCTGAAAACCTGCTACCCCCTGGAGAGCCGGGTAAGATGGGGGGGGGATCTGGGGGCTGCCCCTTCTCCCTGCCGTGCTGGGCAGCCCCTCAGCATCGCCCCCCTCCTCCCCAGCCCTCCAACTCGCTGGGCACCATCACGGACGAGGAGATGAAGACGGGGGACCCCAAGGAGACGCTGCGGCGCGCCAGCATGCAGCCTGCGCCCAGCAGCCGAGGGCACGGCCACCCGGCGCAGCACCGTGGGCACCGCCTGGGCAGGGGGCATCACCACCCGGCAGCAGCGCAAGCGGCTCTCGGATGAGTCCCACCAGGGCCCCGATACCCCCGAGGTGAGCTGAGACCCCCCCGGCACCCCCAGGAGCTGGAGGATTTGGGGGTGCTGCGCCGGGACGTGGTTACGGCTGCGCACAGGGGACCCTGCTCCGAGCCCTTCTGCCTCCTCGTGGCTGTGTCCCAGGGGTCTGGCCCCTCCCTGAAGACCCCCCCCCTTGTCCCCTCTCTTGCAGTCCAAGAAGCCCGTCAGCTGCTTCCCTCGCCCCCAGACCCCCCGGGACCGCAGCGAGCGGCGCAGCTCCCAGGTCAGCCGGCGCAGCGAGCAGCAGGCACCCAGCAAGCCGGTGAGTGGGGGCTGGAGAGCTGCGGAAAGGGGGGGCTGGGACCCCCAGAGCTCCTCACAGCTCCCCCAACCCTTGTCCTCCCCCCCCGCAGGCCGAGAGGCGCCAGTCGATGGCGTTCAGCATCCTCAACACCCCCAAGAAGCTGGGGAACAGCCTCCTGCGCCGCGCCGCCGGCCGCAAAGCCACCCCCAAGGGCTCCCCCCACGGCACCGCGCGCCGCTCGCCCCGCATCGCCTCCGCCAAGTCCCCCAAGGGCAAGGTGGGTGCAGGCACAGCTTCCCCCACCCCCCCCTAAATGGGAGACCCCCCCCCTTAACCCCCTGCTCTCTCTTCCAGGCCAGTCGCAGGGCGCTCAAGGACACCAAGTTCTGAGGTTCCCCAGCCCAGCTCTGCCCTCCCCAGCAGCACCGGGACCAGGAGCGATGCTGGGGGCACTTGGGGGCCACTGTGCCCCCCCCCCAGTATCGCTCTGCACGTCCCAGTAACACCTCTGGGCTGCGTGGGGTGGGTTTGCTCCCCCAGGGCACCCGGGGACCAGGGTGAGGGGAATAGGGGGGCCAGGCACCCCAGCAGAGACCCTGGTTCCTCGCTGCCCCCCCTGGGCGCAGGGGGGGCATTTTTAAAGTGTTTCTACTTGTAAATAAATTGTATTTTTCTCCTGCTCCGAGTCCTCGGTGCGTCCCAGCCCTCCTCCAGGACCAGCTCTTTATATGTGGGGCTGTGCTGGGGGGGGTGCCTGGGGGGGGGTGGGGGGCACCTGGATGCAGCTGTCCTGGGAGCAGAACAACGGGGATTGGGGAAAAATGGGCTGAAATCCACCAAGTCTGTGCCCACCTTGCCGTGCTGCATTCCTTCTGCGTGGGGCTTCACCGTTGTGCCCAAACAGACGCAGAGGTTTTTGGTTTTTTTTTTTTTTTGCTCTAAATTTATTCTCCACCAGCCCACCGAGGGGGTTGTGGGGTCGGGGAGGGGGGGCTCCGAGCCCCCTGCCCTCACTCCCCGCAGGTGCTGGCGTGCTGCTGCACCTCGGCGGGGCTGAAGCAGAGCTGGCAGATGGGGCAGGGCACCCAGGACGGATGCTCCAATTTGGGGTCGGAATTGGGGTCGGGGTCCTCCTCGCCGCAGCGGGAGGCGTGCGCGGGCAGCAGCGCCAGGCTGAAACATCCTGGGGGAAAACGGAGTGATGGGGGTGTCCCCAAACCCAAATCCCCCCCCCAGCCCCTGGGGATGGAGCCCTGGGAAGATCCCCAAAGCGCTCACCCGAGCAGAGGGGGCACAGCCCCACCTCGCCCCCTGCGCTGGGTCCCTCGCTGTGGCCACGGGCTGGGGGTCTCCGTCCTGCGCTGGGTTTCCTGGGGGGGTCCTGCAAGCTGAGGGCTCGCCCTGCTGTGTGCTGCCCCCCCGAAAAGCACGGCGCAAAACGGGGGGGTTTTGGGCAGCCAGAAATTTGGGGGGGGGCTGCTGGAGCCGGCACCCACCGCGCGTGGGGGTGTGGGGGTGCGGGGAGGGAGCCAGAGCAGCAAAATTGGAGGGAGAAATGTGGGGGGGGGGGGTGGGAGATGAATTAATTAATTAATTACCTGCCTGGGGGGCTGCGAGCCCGCTGCCTGCGGACCCTTTTTGGGGGCGCGGGGATGTCCTGTGAGGAGCCAGGGGCTGCAAACAGCGGTCAGGGGTAGGAGGACACCAGGGTGCCGCGGCGCAGCGCCTGGGGCACGGCTGGGGGGGCCAGGCTCTGCCACCCCCCCCCAGGAGCGCAGGAACCCGGCTGCTGCTCCCCATAAACGTGGGCAGGGGGAGATGGGGCTGGGAATCACGGGGGGGGGTTCAATTTCACGCCCCCATGGGTCATTTTTTGGGGCACCGAGGGGGTGGGTGGCGCGTCCTCCCCCAGGCGCAGGGGCGCACCGCGGAGCTGAGGGTCCCCATATGGGACCCCCCCCAAATCGTGGGCAGAGCGGGGTCCCGGGGGCAGTTTTGGGGCAGTTTTGGCACCAGTGGGGTCGGTGCTCACCCGGTGCGGGGGGGTCCAGCCCCCGGCTGCTCCCCGTGGTGCCGTTTTGGGGATTTTTGGCTCGGCTCCGTGCCGCCGCCAGCAGCATCCTGGCCGGGCGGCTGAGGTGGGGGGGGCTCCGGGCAGGGGGGCTCCGGGATTTGGGGCCCGGCTCCAGCTGCTGCAGGCGGCTCCTGAGCTGCTCCTCCTGCCGTGAGACCCTGGGGCGGACGGACAGACGGACGGACACAGACAGACAGATGGACACGGATGGACGGACAGACGGACGTCAGCCCCGCGCCCCCCACCCAGGAGGAGCTCAGGGTGTCAGGGGGCTCCCGGGGGCTCCAGGGTTGGCCGTGATGGACCCCAGCCCACCCCAGCTCAGGCTCCCAGTTCATCCCAGTTCATCCCAGTCTACTCCATCCCAGGCTCCCAGTTCATCCCAGTCCATCCTCCCTGGCCATCCCAGTGCACCCCAGCCCGGGCTCCCCATCCACCCCAGCCCAGGCTCCCAGTCCATCCCGGTCCATCCCAGTCCACCCAGCCCAGGCTCCCAGTTCATCCCAGCCTGGGCTCCCCGCCCATCCCAGTTCATCCCAGTCCACCCCAGTCCAGGCTCCCAGTCCATCCCAGTCCATCCTAACCCGGGCTCCCAGTCCATCCCTGTCCATCCCAGTCCAGGCTCCCTATCCATCCCAGCCTGGGCTCCCTGCCCATTCCAGTTCATCCCAGTCTACCCCATTCCAGGCTCCCAGTCCATCCCAGTCCAACCCAGCCCAGGCTCCCCATCCACCCCAGTCCATGATCCCAGTCCATCCCAGTCCATGCTCCCAGTCCATCCCAGCCCAGGCTCTCTGTCCATCCCAGTCCAACCCAGCCCAGGCTCCCCGTCCACCCCAGTCCATCCCAGTCTACCCCATCCCAGGCTCCCAGTCCATCCCAGTCTGACCCAGCCCAGGCTCCCAGTTCATCCCAGTCCACCCCAGTCCATGCTCCCAGTCCATCCCAGCCCAGGCTCCCAGTTCATCCCAGTCTACCCCATCCCAGGCTCCCAGTCCATCCCAGTCTACCCCAGCCCAGGCTCCCAGCCCATCCCAGTCCACCCCAGTCCAGGCTCCCAGTCCATCCCAGTCCACCCCAGTCCATGATCCCAGTCCATCCCAGCCCAGGCTCCCCATCCATCCCAGTCTACCCCATCCCAGGCTCCCAGTTCATCCCAGTCCACCCCAGCCCATGCTCCCTGTCCATCCCAGCCCAGGCTCCCAGTCCACCCCAGTCCATCCCAGTCCATCCCAGTCCACCCCAGCCCGGGCTACCCACGATCCAGTCTGTGCACACAGCATCCTGCAGATGGCCGGGCTGCAGCGCTGGGGGCTGTGGGCGTCCTCCTGCAGGACGAGGCGACACCGGGGGGGCTGCCAGGAGCCCCCTGGCACCCCCCCCACCCCGACAGCTCCTACCAGTGCCGGCCGTGGGTCGGGCTGGGAGTCGCTGGGGGTGCGCAGGCGGAGGAAGGAGAGCCCGAACTGCCCCTGCCTGCTGAAGGGCTGGCTGCAGGTGAGCCGCACCCGGTCCCATTTCTGCCCCACCGCCGGCTCAGGAAATCCGCTGCAAATTGGGGGGACACCGGGAGGGGGCTTCAGGGGTGGCCCCAAACCCCTCAGCCCCATATGGTGTTATTTTTGGGGGGGGTCCTGCCCTTTACCTTCCTTGAACATCCGCACCCCGCAGCGGTTCTCGCCCGCCCGCGATTCGGCCGGGGTCATCAGGGGGACGCCGGGCACCAGGGGGACGTAGGGGTGGTCCCGGGGCCACGAGGAGCGCCCCACCTCCACCTGCACCAGGGCGCAGCCGCAGTTACCTGGGGGGGGGGGATTTATTTTTTTTTTGGGGGGGGGCTCAGGAGATGCTCAAGGCTCATGGGGCACCCCCTGATCCTGCCCAGGGCTCAGGGCATGACCTGGGGGGGGGGTGCAGGGTCCGTGCTGGGGGCACATGGGGGGTGTAGGGTCCCTGCTAGGGTCTGGGGGGGTCCATGTGGTGACCCCCCCGCCCTCACCCAGGTCCAGGTAGCCGATGGCCGTGGCTGCCTCCAGCTGCAGCTCCGCTCTCAGCCGCCGGCTGCGGTCCCGGGGGCAGCAGAGCCAGGGCCCCCCCCTGTCCTCCCGCAGCAGGTTCTCCACCGGGAACCGGGGGTCCTGTGGGTGGCACCGTCAGACCCCCCCCCCCTCGGGTGTGCACCCACCCCACGGAGCTGTGGGGGTGTCACCAACCCCCCCCCCCAACCCCCAGCCCCATAGGGACCTGCGAGGAGAAGGACACCACCGAGCTGATGCGCACCGGGGCCATGGGGAGGGCTGGGGGGGGGCTCTGCTCGCCCCAAACACCTGGGGGGGGGACGCAGGGGTTGGGGGGGGGGCTCATGGACCCCATCCTGGGCTGCTGCCCCCCCCGTTCCGCACCCCCATCACCCCCAGCTGCCCCCAGCCCCATCTCAGAGCCCCCCCCTCAGCCCCTGGTGCCCCCCCCAGCCACATTTCCCCACCCTTCAGCCCCCCCCGCCCCATTCTGCCCCCCCCCATCACCCTCAGCCCCTGGTGCCCCCAGCCCCCCTGAGGTGCCCCCAGCCCCATTGCCCCCCCCCCAATTCTGCCCCCCCCAGCCCCATTTCTCCATCCCAGAGCCCCCCCCCTTTTACCTCCCCAGTCCCCCCCAACCTCTCTCCCCCCATCCCCCAGTGCCCCCCCCAGCCCCCCCCCATCCCCATTGCCCTATCCCAGATTCCCCCCCCCCCATTCTGCCCACCTGGCACCCCCCCTGCCCCATTTGCTCCCCCAGCCCCCGGTGCCCCCCCCCCAGCTGCCCTGTCCTGTATCTGCCACCCCTATTCTGCCCCCCCCGTGCCCCCCAACCCCAAATGCCCCCCCAGCTCCGCCCCCTCTGCCCCATTCCTCACTTCCCCATCCCAGAGCCCCCCCCCCCCCAAGCCCCCGTTGCCCCCCGCCAGCCCCATTTCCCCATCCCAGAGCCCCCCCCAACCCAGTTCTGCCCCCCCCAGCCCCTGGTGCCCCCCCCAGCCCCCATTTCCGCATCCCAGAGCCCCCCCCCCAGTTCTGCCCTCCCCCAGCCCCTGGTGCCCCCCCCCCAGCCCCATTTCCCCATCCCAGAGCCCCCCCCCAGCCCCCCATTCTGCCCCCCCCCCAGCCCCTGGTGCCCCCCCCCAGAGCCCCCCCTTCCCAGTTCTGCCCCCCCAATTTACCCCCGGTGCCCCCCCCCAGCCCCATTTCCCCACCCCATTTCCCCCCCCAGCCCCCCATTCTGCCCCCCCCCCAGTCCCACTGAGACCCCCCCAGCCCCATTTCCCCCCCCCACCCAGTTCTGCCCCCCCCAGCCCCTTGTGCCCCCCCCCAGCCCCACTGCCCCATCCCAAAGCCCCCCCCCCCAAAACTTCTGCCCCCCCAACTTACCCCCCACAACCCCCGGTGCCCCCCCCCCAGCCCCATTTCCCCATCCCAGAGCCCCCCACAGCCCCCCATTCTGCCCCCCCCAGCCCCATTTCTCCATCCCAGAACCCCCCCCAGCCCCCCATTCTGCCCCCCCCCAGTCCCACTGAGACCCCCCCCAGCCCCATTTCCCCCCCCCATTTCCCCCCCCCACCCAGTTCTGCCCCCCCCCCAGCCCCTTGTGCCCCCCCCAGCCCCACTGCCCCATCCCAAAGCCCCCCCCCCCAAACTTCTGCCCCCCCAATTTACCCCCCCCAGCCCCATTTCTCCCCCCTCTTCACCCCCCTCCCACCCCCATTCTGCCCCCCCAGCCCCATTTACCCACCCCAAAGCCCCCCCCCCAAATTCTGCCCCCCCAATTTACCCCCCCCACAACCCCCAGTGCCCCCCCCCAGCCCCATTTCTCCCCCCCTTCAGCCCCATTCTGCCCCCCCCCGGCCCCATTTACCCCCCCATCCCCCTTTTTGCCCCCCCCATTTCCCCCCCGCACCGGCCCCGCCGCCACGCGAATTTCTCCCGCGCTGAGCGCGTGGCCCCGCCCCCGGCCACGCCCCCAGCCCCGCCCCCCTGCCGCGGGGGCTGCTGGGAGTTGTAGTCCCGCGGCGGTGCCGCGTCACCGCGCCGGGCCCTAAGGGAGCGTCCGCCGTGAGCCGCCCCTGCACCGAGCGTGAAGGGGGCGCAGGGGAGGCCGCGCGCTGAGAGGGTTCGGAAATGCGCCACGGTCCCTAACCTTAAAGCCCGCCCCCTCCTCCTCCTGACTGGCCGCCGGGGCAGCGCCGCGCGCGGCGATTGGTCGGCGGGGAGGCGGCGTGGCCGCTGATTGGCTGAGCGGCGGCGGAAGGAGCTGGCTGCCGGCGGGAGGGGAGCCTCTAAGGAGTGAGGGGAGGGGGGGGGGCAAGATGGCGGCGGTGCTGGAGGTGGAGGTCGGCGGGCCCGGCGAGCGCGACGGGGAGGAGGTGGGGGGGGGACTGGGAGGGACTGGGAGGAACTGGGAGGGACTGGGAGGGGGGTTCTGGCCTCTGGGGGTCGGGCCCGGGCTGCACAGAGGGGCTGGGGGCGCCTCAGCCCTGGGGGGGGCCGAGGCCGGGCTGGGGGCGGCCTGGGCCGGGGGCTGGGGGGGGGCTCTGAGGGGATGGGGGGGGGTGGGGGAGGGTTTGGGGGGGATTGGGGGGAGATTTGGGGGAATTTGGGGGCTCTGGGGAGATTTGGGGGCAATTTGGGGGCGCTGGGGGGGATTTGGGGGCGATTTGGGGGAATTTGGGGGCTGTGAGGCGCATTTGGGGGCGATTTGGGGCATTTGGAGGCGATTTGGGGGCTCTGGGGGCGATTTGGGGGAATTTGGGGGCGATTTGGGGGATTTAGGGGGCGATTTGGGGGATTTGGGGGCGATTTGGGGGATTTGGAGGGGCTGTGAGGGGGTCTGGGGGCGACTTGGGGCATTTGGGGGCGATTTGGAGGATTTAGGGGAGAATTTTGGGCGATTTGGGGGCGATTTGGGGGATTTAGGGGGTGATTTAGGGGATTTGGAGGGGCTCTGGGGGGGGTTGGGGGCGAGTTGGGGCATTTGGGGGCGATTTGGGGGATTTAGGGGGGAATTTGGGCGAATTGGGGGCGATTTGGGGGGATTTGGGGGTGCTGAGGGGGATTTGGAGAGGCTGTGAGGGGGATCTGGGGGCGACTTGGGGGGGTTGGGGGCGATTTGGGGGACTTAGGGGGGAATTTAGGCGATTTGGGGGCGATTTGGAGGGTTTAGGGGAGAATTTGGGGGATTTGGGGGGGATTTGTGGGGGCTCAGCCCCGTGCTGAGGCTCCCCCATGGCTGTCCCCATAGCCCCGGGCTCTGCTCACTCAGTGCCAGCAGGGCAGGGGCTGAAGGGCTGAGGGGCTGGGGGGCTGGGGGGGGGGCTCCCCCTCAGGCTTTGCCCTGCAGCTGGTGCCTGGGGGGTGGCAGCAGGCAGGGAGCGGCTCCCACCCGCGTGTCCGAGCCCTGCAGAGCACCAGGAGCCCCCTCGTGCTCCCCACCCGGCCACGGAGAGGAGGCAGCTGATAAGGAGGCAGCTGATAAGGAGGCACGCCGAGGGCTGCTCCTGTCCCTCTGCTCCCTCCCACAAAGTCCACGTCCTCAGGTGGTTGGGGACAGCCCGGTGTAACGGGGTCAGGGCCCTGCACCGCGTCCCCCCCCCCAGGGCAGTACTGCTGGGCGTTTTGGTGAAGGTTTCGTGGTGTTTCTGGGGACTCAGCCCCCGCTGGAAGCCAGCGTGGTCTGGGAGCGATGCTGGGGGGGCTCAGGAAGATTTTGGGGGTCCTGGTGTTTGGTTTCAGCTTCTGGCCCTGCGCCCCCCTCCCGAGGTGCTAGAGCCCAGGCAGTGAGAAGCTGCCACAGCACCACCACAACCTGGGGAGCTCGAGCTGGGCTCTGCACACCCAAATTTCACATCTCCCCAAATTTCCCATCTTCCTGAGCCCCCCAGGGGCCGTGCCTCCTGCAGGGGTTGCTCGGGGCGCAGCAGCACCGCTCGGGCTGTGCTTTCCCAGCCTGCTGTCCCCTGGGGTTGCTGCTGCTGGAATCCAGCTGCTGATCTTTTTTTTGTCTTTTTCTGTCTCCTCAGGTCGACCTCTCGCACTTGTCCCCCGAGGAGAGATGGAGGTGAGTTGGGGGGATGCCGGGCGCTGTCAGCAGCTGCAGAGGCCGTGGGCAGCCCCCCAGGGCAGTGCCTTTTGCACATATTTGTTGTGTTTGGCTTTTATTTTCCAACTTGGATTATTTTTTTTATATAACTTTAGATTTTTTTTTCTAGCTTGGGCTTAACTTTCAGCCTTAAGCTGCAGCTTAACATTTCAGCTTTTGAGACTTTAAGATTTAGCATTCTAACTCGCGCTTAACTTCCAGCCTCAGGCCACGGGGTGAGGACGTTGTGCCTTGGCTTGCGGCCAGGCAGCAGCACTGAGAGCGAAGGAACCGCAGGGGTCAGCAGAGGGCCGGCTGTGGGAGCCTCTCCTGGCTTTCCAGAGGAGCTGGGATGGGGGCAGAGGGAGGAAGCCGCGTGCTGGGGGCTGAGCAGGGCTGGGGAAGATTTGGGCTCTGTCTCAGTGCCAGCACACACTTGGGGTGGTGCTGCTGCGTGGGGTGACACACCTTGGGTCCTGTGCAGCAGCATGACACCTCAGCCGTGTTCACAGCACCGTGAGCTGGGTATAATGGTGTAAAACAGCTGCTTTTTGGGACATTTTTAATTTATTTCTCCCCAGGATGGCAGCGCAGCACCCGTACCCCCTGCGTTCCTTACCGCCGCCCTCCGGTGCAGTCCTCCTGGCTCTCCTGCTCGTCTGCCGTGCCTGCCCGCCCCTCAGTCACCCTCTCGCTGTCGTTGCAGGGTGGAACACGCCCGGATGCACGCCAAGCACCGCGGCCACGAGGCCATGCACGCCGAGATGGTCCTCATCCTGATCGCCACGCTGGTGGTGGCGCAGCTGCTGCTGGTGCAGTGGAAGCAGAGGCACCCCCGCTCCTACAACGTGAGTGTCCTCAGCTGCTGGGCTCATGTCTGGTGCTGAAACACCCTCGGCTGCCCGAGGGACGAGGGTGAACGCATCTGGAGGCCTCAAGGCTCTGGTGTGAGCGCTGGCAGTGACACACGGTGTCCCTGAGCAGCCCTGCTGCTTCCTGATGCTGGTGCCATGTGTCAGCTCGCCAGAAAGGCTACGGGGCTGTGCCTGCACCAGGAACCAAACCCCACCTGATTTCCTGTAAAGAACATTTCCAGGCAATGCCCCTAATCCTCTCTGTGAAACCAAAACCATGCCCGCGTGCCTGCACAAAGCTCCACGGCAGTGGGCCTGGTTTGGGGACGTTTGGTGGGGCAGAGGCGAGCCCGAAACTCGGTGCTGTGCCAGTCTCCTTAACCCATGCCTGAGGGGCTGTGGTTAAAATTCTGGGAAGCCTGAAGAGGCAGAGGTTTGTGTAGCCCTGCTACAAGATCTGGTTGTGCAGATCAGCTCCTGTGCCTCTTTCCTCAGCAGCGTTCCTTCCTCCAGCTCTACTCCTTTGCTGTCACAGCCTGCCAGCTGTCAGACTCCCTTCAGCCAGGCTCTGAGCTTGTTCCCTGGGTGCTGGCGGCCACCAGCCCAAATTCCTGAGCTCCCTGACACCGCTCAGTGCCCCGTGATGCCAGCACGAGCCAGGCTGCCAGATCCACCAGGGTGTTTCTGGTGCCTGACAAGCAGCGAGCCAGCGTAACGCGCCTCTCCTCCCTTCCCACAGATGGTGACCCTGTTCCAGATGTGGGTGGTGCCCCTGTACTTCACGGTGAAGCTGTACTGGTGGCGCTTCTTGGTCATCTGGGTGCTCTTCTCAGCCGTCACAGCTTTTGTCACCTTCAGGGCAACCCGAAAACCTCTGGTACAGACGACGCCCAGGTTAGTGGGAGCGTTTCTGGGAAGTGCCCTCAGCCTGAGGGCAGCATCACAAAGAGCCCTTTGGTGATTCCCTGACGCAAACCACGGCCTCAAACTCTGCAGTTCGCCCTGTTCAGCCAGTGCAGCACCTCAGGGTGTGAGTTACCCTGCTGGAGGCTCTCTGTGGAGCTGCCACCCTCAGATCCCTGTCTTGTCGGGGTGGGCGGTGGGCAGGCAGACCCCCGCGATGCCCCAGGGCAGCTGGCAGTCTCACCGAGCACATTCCCAGCATGACACTCACTTGCTCGAGGCCATCAGGGATCCGGAGGTTTCTGGTTTGGAAGTGCAGACCGTGAGCTGCAGATCTGTGGCCTGAGCTGGAGCTTGAAGCCTCAGTTTGCCCACGTGTGGGTGGTTGAAACGTCCGACGTGGGAAAGTGAAACTCGATAGGTGCTCGAGGGAGAAACAAAGCCGCCTAATTCTTGTTTTGCATTTTTTCAGGCTGGTTTATAAATGGTTTCTGCTAATATACAAGATCAGCTACGCCACTGGAATCGTCGGGTACATGGCCGTGATGTTCACGCTCTTTGGTCTTAATTTATTGTTCAGGTGAGCGAGTCCTCGGGGCCCTTTTCCCAGGGCAGGGGCTGTGACAGGCCGTGGGGAAGGAGGCGTTGGCTGGGATTCCAGAGAAACACTCACCTGGCAGTCTGACTGATGTGGCAGGAGGCCAGAGAGGACTTTCAGGGTGTCCTCTCCCCGCGTGGTTGTGCTGCTGAGGCTGCTCAAGGGCCCTGCTTCCCGCAGGGTTGCTTCCCCTGGCTCTGTGCATGGGGCAGCAGTGAGATTTCCCCGATAACCGGGTGCCTGCAGCAAGCAGCCAGCCCCGGTGTGGTGGCAGAGGGCCTTACCCCGAGCCATCCTCCGTTTCAGAGAGGTCAATTCCTTCTGGAACGATGCACAGGCCTGGAAACTGCCTGCAGGGCTGTGGGGGTGTTAAAAGGGGGCTTATCTGGAGCCCATGTGGTGCACGATAGAGCTGGGGAGAGTTGCTCAGTTGCTTGTTTTAGGGGCAGGTGAGGGAGATGGGTGACAGCTATGAGCTGGGATAGGGCCCCCACAGCTCGCTGGGGATGAAGCAGATGAAATGCCCCAAAAGCAGGGGCTGGCTCTGTGCCTGGAGGCACGCAGACAGCTCTGCAGGGGACTGGTGGCGGTGACACGAGCTGCAGCACTGCTGGGCTCCTCTGGCACGCTGTCCGTGCACCCCTGCTATGCAGAAAAGCTCTCGATGTCGTTGGGACTCCTCTGTTGCAGAATCAAACCAGAAGATGCAATGGATTTCGGCATCTCCCTCCTCTTCTACGGTCTGTACTATGGGGTCCTGGAGCGGGACTTTGCCGAGATGTGTGCAGATTACATGGCCTCGACGATCGGGGTGAGTTCAGGCTGTGCTGTCCCTGCTAACAGGAGGGCTGGGGGTGGGCTGGTTGCAGCTTTTGCCTCCCCAAAACGAGGAGGTGCAGGGAGCTCTGCCCCAGGAAGGGCTCGCTGCTCGCTCTCTGCGTCAGGAGGTCTCTGACACGAGTCACTCTGGGATCCTGAGATCCTGCTCCCCACAAACCGAGTCTGTCCCACCTCCGGGAGCACGAGACAGGAAGGATCTGCTCAGTGCCTCCAGACTGCTGACAAATATTTGTCTGGCTGAGCCTTTTATACCGGGCAGAGCCTCGGGCTGTCCCTGCGGGCACAGCGGGTGCTCCCACATGCCCGTGGTGAAGCCTGAAGTCTGCAACCCGCTCACCAGAGAAAAAAAATGAACCAGAACACCCGTGGGGTGCGTGGTGTTCCCACGTGGTGTTCCCACGCCACCTTTTGTGGGGCACAAAGGGCTGCGCAGTGACCGAGCAGCGCCGTGTCCTGTTGTCATTGTTCCCTGCAGCTGGACCTGTAATAAGGTTTTTAAGCCCAAAAAGCTGAGGCTGGATGCCTGGAGCGCTGGCGCAGCCCTCCCTAAAGCTGAGCTGCACCGGGGGGGTGTGGGATGCGTGCCCCCCCGTGACCATCTCTCCCTCTCTGCTCTGCCCACCAGTTCTACAGCGCCTCGGGGATGCCCACCAAGCACCTCTCCGACAGCGTCTGCGCCGTCTGCGGCCAGCAGATCTTCGTGGACGTCAACGAGGAGGGGATCATCGAGAACACGTACCGCCTCTCCTGCAACCACGTGTATCCTTCTGCTCCGGGCCAGCGCCGTGCCCCTGCCCTCCTCCCAGCACCCAGGGGCGCGTGTCGGGGACGCCGGGCGGTGCCAAAGGATCCTCGTGGAGGGGACGTTTTGGGAGCAATCGGCAGCCCCCGTTTTTTGGCAGGGCTCTGGCTCTGTGTGCTTGGTCGAGCTCCTGCCAGCCTCCTCTGCCCCACAACTCCTCCGGCAGCGCCGCGTGCGGAGCTTCCAACACCCTGGCAGCTGAGGGAGGTGAAGTCAGTTGCAAAAGTGGAAGTGCTGCCAGCTCACAGAGCCCTGGCCGGGGGCAGGTCAGGGGTTTTTTTCCCAGCTGTGACTCAGCGGTGGAGCTGGGATGTTCTCTGCTACTCACTCCCTGACTCAGAGCGAGGTGGTTTCCAAAGGGCCCTGAGCAAAGGTCACGGAGCTTGTTGCCTCACGCTGGGCGCTGCAGGCGGTGTGGAAACGTTTGCAGCCTCAGCAGCTGCGTGGCAGCCGTGCGGGGGGGGTTTATGGCCACGGGATTCCACCAGGCAGAGCCCTCTGCTGCGGGGGCTCTGCTGCGAGCCCCTTCCTGGGAGCCGAGGGGTTTCCTAGGAAAGCTCTGCGTTGGGCAACGCTGCCGTCCTCGCGCCACGTGGGTGCTTCCCGTGCCCTGCGTGTGGTGCGGGGGTGGTTTTGATTCCTCCAGGCGTGACAGCGGCCCCGTTTCCTCCTGGCTCCGTCCCCAGGCAGTTCCCTTAACGCGCCGCTCCCCAGCTTTCACGAGTTCTGCATCCGCGGCTGGTGCATCGTCGGGAAGAAGCAGACGTGTCCCTACTGCAAAGAGAAGGTGGATCTCAAGAGGATGTTCAGTAACCCGTATCCTTTCTCCACGGGGGAGCTGCTTCCCTGGCTCTAATGCCCCGGAGCTGGGCACGGAGCCACGGGAGCACTGGGGGAACTGGGAGGCTGCGGGTTTGGGCAACGTGGGGCAGCTCCTGCTCGGGCCACACTCCCCTCCTGCCTCCCCGAGGCTCTTTAACTCCGTTCCACGCAGCTGGGAGAGGCCGCACGTGATGTACGGGCAGCTGCTGGACTGGCTGCGCTACCTGGTGGCCTGGCAGCCCGTCATCATCGGACTGGTCCAGGGCATCAACTACATCCTGGGCCTGGAGTAAGGGAGGGCGGCGGGCAGCCGCGGAGCCAGGCGAGGCCGCGGGCCGGGGGCAGAGGACAGCAGCCGGCCGGATCCGTCGCATCCCGGCCGCCCCCGAGCGCCGCGGCACCGAGGACTCGTCCCTGGGGCGACCCCCAGCCAAGCAGCAGCTCCCGCGAGGACCCCGGGGGGAGCCTGTTTTTTTTAAAAGCAGTTATTTTAATGAGCGTATTTAAAACTTTCTATTGCAGACAGAAGAGACGGGTTCGGCACGGTTCCCAGCCCCGGGGCCGTGGCTTGCTCCTGCGGGAGGGAGGCTCTCGTGCTGCTGCCTCTTGGGGCCGTTCGACTCCCGTCCATGGAGCAGCCCGGGCGAGGAAGGGCTGGGGCAGCACAACGAGGTTTGGGGCTCATCTCCCTGCCAGGAGGAGGTCGGGGACAGGGACAGCTCCCAGGACAGAGGGACGCGGGGCTGCCCTGGTGCCGTGGGCTGAGCTCTTCCCCACGGGGAGGGAAGGATCCTGGTCCCCTCCGCTGCCCCCCAGCCTCTGCCCACCTTCCCCTTTTGTACGCTCCCCTCTTTTCTATGTCCCCCTGCGCATCCCCGTGCCCCACCAGGGCTGGTGCTGTCCTCAGCCTGCCAGGATGTGGGGCGGGGGGGGCTTTTCTCCCCCTGCACCCCCTTGGTGGTGGCACACAGATCTGGTGTTTGGCGAGGTGGGCAGGGCTGGTGGCACCAGCAGAGCGAGGCCTCCCCCAGCCCCCCGGGTTTGGCTCGGGGTCTTCCTCGTGCTGCAGGGATTGGGGAAGTGGCTGGCACCGTGGTGTGCCGGGGGGGCTGCCCCCAGGCCCTGCTGAGCCCTGGGTTTGTGTGGGGTGAAACTGCCCCACGCTGTGCCAAACACACACACAGTCCCGGGCACTGCTGTGACCCGGGGATTTTCTCGCTCGTCCCGCCTGTGCTGTGGCCGGGTGGCATTTCCTCCTCCCTCCCCTGCACTGGTGGCTTCTTCAGCCCCCCCCCGGGCGCTGACCACCAGCCCCAGCACCTTGTGGGTGGTGGGACGGGGCTGGGCAGTGCTGAAGGTGCTGGGCTGCAGCCCCGGTGCCCACGGGCGCTGCGGGGAGGACGCGGGCACGGAGCTGACCGTGGGTGGGGGAGAGGTGGGGGCTGCGGGTGCTGGGCCCTGTCACGGCGCCAGCACTGCCCTTCCCGGAGTTGTTAATAAAAAATGCCAGAAAATTCACTGGGCTTTTAGGGGCTTTTTTTTTGACACCTGGCCTTTCTCTGCCTGGATCCGGCGCCTACCAGGGCTGGAGGGGTTTGGGTCCCTGCTCCAGGGCAGGGGGCAGAGGCCTGGGGGCTTCCCCCCTCTTGCTTGTCCCCGTGCCTGTGTGTGGGGTTCCCGGGGTGGGGAAGCCCCTTCTGCCCCCTGAGCCCTTCCCCTGGGCATCGGGGCTGTCTGTGGGGTCAGTGGCCTTGGCCCTGCTTCAAACGGTGCCAGCGCCGGGGTGGGGACGCTCCCCGCTGCCTTTCGCTCTCGTTTACTGGAAAGGGAGGGGGACAGCGGGAAGGGGGCAGGTCTGGGACGTAAAACAGGGGAAAGGGCAGGGGGGGCACGGCCCTGGCTGGGAACCTGCACCCCCTGGGCTTTGCCCATCTCCCTCAGCCCAGGCCCTTCCTCGCCCCGAAGCCCCCAGCTCCATCCAGGGGGCTCAGGGCTGGGGTGGGAGCCGGGGTCTCGCACAGCCAGGCTGGTTGGGGGGCAGTGGGGACAACGGGGGGGTGCGGGGGGGACACTGGGCACGGGGATGTTGGGCACGGGGACATGGGGACATGGGCACAGGGGGCGCAGGGACATTGCGCACGGGGTGGGCGCGGGGTCCCGGTAAAGGAGGGGCGCGGGGATTTGGGGTCCGTGGGGATTTGGGGTCCGTGGGGCTCCGGGATGCGGGACCCGGCGTTGCCCAGCCCGGTGCGGGCGCGGCCGGGGGCGGCCCCCGCTGAGTCACGGCCGCTGCCCCAATAAAGAGCCCCCGCCGGGCGCTGCCGCACGATGGCTCCGTGCGCCCGCTCCGACGGTGCGGCCGCTGCGGGACCGGGGGGGGCACCGGGACGGGGGGAGCCGGGGCGGGGGAAAACGGGACCGGGGGAAATGGGGCTGGGGGAGCCGGGGCCGGGGGAAATGGGGCTGGGGGAGCCGGGGCCGGGGGAGCGCTCCGGTGCCCGGGAGGAGCTGCGGGGGCTCGGGGACGCCGCCCGGTGCCGTGCCCGGCTCGGGGGGGCGCATCCCGGCGCTGCCGGGCGCTGAGCCCCATTTCTGTCCGCAGCCCCACCCGGGCTCCGTGCCCCCCTCCTGCTGCTGCCGCTGCTCTGCTGGGCCGTGGCCCCCCGCAGCACAGGTAAGTGGGGCTGCAGGGCTGGGGGGGGGACAGCCAGGACCGGGTCCTGCCTCTGTGCGCCCCCCCCTCCCGTGTCCCTGCCCCCCCCGTACGACCCTGCCCTCCGTCCCGCTGTGGGGTCTGGGGGCAGCTCCTGTCCCTCACCCCACTCCTCTCCCCCAGCGACCATTGCCATGCAGCCCCCCCGCATCACCGCCCTGCGGATGCCAGCAGAGCCCCCCCACCTGGGTAAGTGACCCCCGAGGGAACAGGGGCTGGGGGAGGCCGTGCTGAGCCCCTCACACTTGGGGGGGGAAATTGGGGGGCAGCTCCTGCACCCCTGCAGCTGGGGCTTGGGGAGCCCAGCAAGGCTCTGCGGGGGCTTTTGGGGTGCGGGTGAGGTAGGGGCTGTTCCCCTGGGGAGTTTTTGGGGATGGCACGGGGGGGCTGCACAGCAGGACCACTGCCACCCCCCCCCAGGTCCCAGCCCATCTCCCCCCCATGCGCAGGCTGCAGTGTGAAGATCTCCTGCGAGGCCGTGAGCAGCCTCCCCGAGGTCACGCTGCTCTACTGGCTGGGGAACGGCTCCTTCATCGAGAAACTGCACCCGGACGGGGCCGTGCACGAGGGGATGCTGCTGTGAGTTTTGGGGAGGGGGTCCTGGGGCCAGGGGGGGGCAGCTCCGGCCCTGCTGGGGGTGCTGATGGGGCCTTTGCTGCTCGCCCCGCAGAGAGGAGCCGCGGGGCTCGGGGGTGGTCCTGCGCCGAGACCTCCTCTTCAGCTCCTTCAGCGCCCGGGACCTGCGCACCAACTTCACCTGCGTGGTGCTGAGCCCCATCGGCCTCGACACCAGGGAGCTGCGGTGGGGACCCCCGCAGCCGGCCCCCACCGAGAGCAGGGAACTGGGCTGAGACCGGGCTGCAGCTCGTGACGGGTGAGAGCCCCATGGCATGGGGCAAGGGCTGCCCCCGCCGCATGGGAAGGGATGCTCCGTGGGTCTGGAGTGGGGGGAAAACCCCCCCTGCCCCTGCCTGGAGCTGCCCCCAGCACGGCCCTTGCTGGACCCTGGCTGGCTGCAGAGCGGGGGGCTCTCACCCTGCCCACCCCCAGGTCGGGAGGCTGCTGTGGGGGCTCTTTGCCCAGCCCCAGGGCATCGGCCCTGCTCTGACGGACACAGCCCCACTGCGGGGCTCCTGGTGCCCCTGGCCCCCCGGCACCTGCCCACAGCAGGTTGTGGGGCAGCAGGGATTCATTAAAGCGCATTGAGGCTGCCTGGTGTCACCTGTGTGCTGGGGGGGCAGGGGACACCCGCGGGGTGAGGAGGAAGGCGAGGTGCCCACGGTGCCGCCAGAGCTGGCTGAGTGCCCTGCGCTGCTCCATGGGGCAGCCCCCGTCCGTCCCGCCTGCAGAGCCCGAATCTGGGCACTGGGGGCTGAGGTGCCAGCCAAATCCCTGCTCCTGAGCCGCCGTGGAGGCTCCCCAGAGAGGAGGAGCCCCCAGTGCTCCCCGTGCCACCTCGCAGGAGCCGGGGCAGCGCTCTCCGGGAGGGAGCTGGAGAAGACCCCCGGCTGCTGCCCATGCAAAGTGCCCCCGCTGCGGGGAGCCGCAGGAACCCTCCTCGATGCCTCCATCCTCCAGCAGTGCTTTTATTTCTCTGCAAAAGCCAGGAAAAGGCTTCCTCCAGCCTCTGCTGGTGTTCTAGGGCCACCGGAGCATCCTGGGGCCGGTGGCACCGCTCCTGCTGGAGCAGAAAGCATCTGGCAGAGGAAAGCGAAATCCCACAGTGTCCATTAAATGTGTTCTCACGTTTCTGCCCCGTTTTCCTTGCGGAGGTGCAGCAGCAGCATAGCTGGGTTAGAGGCGTCCCACGGCTGCCAGGGCTGCGGCTGCCAAGAGGAGACTCCAGAGGTGTGGGGGTTCCCTGGGACTGCTCGTGCCTGGGGGGGGGAACAGGGAGTTAATGACTGCCGGAGGGTGCCAGCACGGTGCTGGCCGTGGGAAGGGGCTGGGGGCTCGCCTCTTACCTGCGCTGAAGACACACGGCTGGGCCTTGCACCTTTTCTCTGCCAAAGAGACCAACAACATCTGTGCACCGCCCCGCTCTGTGCCCCTCACCCCGCCCTGGCCGTGCCACAGAGGGCCCCCACTGCAAACCCCAAGGGAGAGCAGCTGGGAGCGTGCAGGGATGCGCAGGGAAGACCTGGTCTGGAGGCGAGCTCCCCACCTCCCCGAGCTCCCCACACGGAGGTGTTGCCTTCACCACGAGGCTCCCCTTCCCCTCACAGAGCCGGTGGCACGGGGCCCCCGTTCCTCTGCAGCCATGGCTGGAGGAGCGCGGGGAGCACGGCGGCGCCTGCCCAGGGCTGTGCCCTGTCCCCAGCCATCTCCCGGGGGCACCCACCCTGCTGCCTGCCCGTACCCTTCACAAACTCGCAGTTGTAGGTGCTGAGCGCAGTCTGGGAGTGGAGATGGATGAAGTTTCCGTCTCTGTCACGGGTGAAGTTGGTGACCTTGAAGACCTCATAGGGTGGGATGAGGACTTCATCCTCACCAGGGTAGAAGGAGAAGTTCTTGATGGGGACGCTGTAGCAGGTATCCAAAAAGAAGAAGGTGTCCTGGCCAAAGGACTCAGCAACCTTCTTCTGGAGGGAGGCGGAGGTGAACTGGCCGAAGCGGACGGTCTGGCGGAGCTGGGCTGTGAAGCGGGTGCCTTTGATGCCGCGGTAGACGCGGTGGCAGCTGTGGCCCTGGGCCTCCCGCAGGGTGTGCAGGGCCTTGGTCAGGAGGAAATGCAGCGTCTTGAAGGGGAAGGACTGGAGGTAGTGCTCGCGGGAGCGCCCGCCCTCGCGCACGGCGGTGTTGAACTGCTTGTAGAGGCCCCTCTCGGCGGTGTACGCCAGCACGGCCATCGCCTGCTCCTGCCGCAGCGCCTGCGGGCGGGTGGCACGGCCCCATCGATTCCTCCACTCCGTCACTGCACCCCTCCAGCCCTCCGCGTAGTCAGGGTTGGCGAACTCGGTGCGGTTCAGCTCCTCCAGCTCCTTCTCCATCATGCGGCTGCAGCCCTGGTACTGGTCGTCAAAGGAGCTGAGGACCATGTCCATCGCCACCTCCTTGATGGCCTCGAGGTCTCGCCTGCTGCCAGTGGCTGCGGTGCCAAACAGGGTGCTGGCCAGCAGCACCCAGCCCAGGGCGAGCTGCTCCATGCGCAGAAGGACCCCGGTGCCCGGCTGCAGACCCCCAGGTCCCCCCCAGCCCGGTCCCAGCAGCCCTGGAGCTGCAGCGAGTTGTTACCTCTGCTCCGCTCGGTGCGCAGGACACTCGAGCTGCCTGTTGGGGCTTTTTATAGCAACCCCTGCCTGCGTCCCACGGGCTATTTATATGCTGGCCCCCCATGACCGCCCAGAATAGCTGCTGCTGCCCCGTTGGTGCAAGTGTCTGCAGGGACACCGTCAGGAAATCCCCCTTTAGCAGTTCCCTTTGCTTTGGTGTTAGTGCGGGTCCCAGTCCCACAGGTGTTTGTGGTGGTTTCGCCCTGATGGAGAGCCAAACGCCACCACAGCTGCTCTCACACATGGCTTTGCCTTTTCCCAAGGCAGGAGCAACCCCTCTGCCTTCCCCAGCTGCTTCCCTCCAGCACAGTGTGCAGGGGCCTTGAGCAGGGCCCAGATGGCTGTCAGACCCTCTGCTCCTAACCAGCCAAGTGGCTTCTGCTAAATTTGCACCCCAGCGTTTCCATGCCCCAGCACACAGTGCCTGCAACAGGCCCTTAACAGCCCCTTACACCTCCCAACCCCTCCAGGGGCTCGTGGGTGACCGGGATGTGATACACCCAGTCCTTGCTGTGCCTCTTGGCCTAGGGGGCTACAAGGTTATTCCAGAGGTGACTCCCATTGCAGGGCTCGATTCTCTCGGGTGTACCATGACGCCATAGACCTTGTCTTTCCAGGCCCAAGATCAGGAGATCATCGGGTCCAACCCCCTGCCAAAGCAGTTCCCTGGAGCAGGCTGCCCAGGTTGGTGTGGAACTGCCTGGGCTCCATTTTGTGGCCACTGCCCCTTGTCCTGTCCCCACAGACCACTGGAAAGAGGTTGGCCAAATCCCTCTGCCTCCCACCCCTCAGGTATTTATACACATTGATGAGATCCCCTCTCAGTCCTCTCTTCTCCAGGCTGCACAGCCCCAGGTCTCTCAGCCTCTCCTCACAGGGAAGATGCTCCAGGCCCTGGATCATCTTTGTGGCTCTCCGCTGGACTCTTTCCAGGAGATCTCTGTCTTTCTTGTACCGGGGAGCACAGAACTGGACCCAGTGCTCCAGGTGAGGCCTGACCAGGGCAGAGCAGAGGGGGAGGATCACCTCCCTCGACCTGCTGGCCCACTCAGATGCTCCTGATCCTCTCCCTCATCAACCAGGGGGGAGATCTCCACTTCCCAGCCTCTTTCTCCTCCCTCCAGGGTCCAGGAGTCCCATGGGGGAAGTCTTTGAAGCAGAGACCGAAGCAAAGAAGGCATTCGGTATCTCCACCTTCTCAGTGTTCCCTGTCACCAGGACACCCCCCTCGTTCAGCAGGGGACCCACATTATCTCCAGTCTTTCTTTTACTGTTTACGTAATTTAAAAAATCAAACAAACAACAACAAACTTCTTATTATCCTTTATCTCTTTTGCAAGCTTCACCTCCAGGTGGGCTTTAGCCTTCCTTGTCACGTCCCTGCAGGCCCTGACAACACTTCTATACTCCTCCCAAGAGGACAGGCCCTTTTTCCACATTTCTTAGCTCTTCCTTTTGATCTTATCAATGAGCTCCTTGCTCACCCATGCAGGTTTCCTGCTCCCCTTCCCCAATTTCCTACTCTTTGGGATGCACCGATCCTGAGCATGGAAGAAGTGCTGTTTAAATGTAGCCCAGCTCTCACAAGCACCCTTGCCTTCTAGCAACCCAGCTCACGAGACACCCCCAAGTATGTCCTGGAAGAGGTTAAAGTTGGCTCTCCAAAAGTCGGGGTAGCAATCCTGCTTTTTGCCTTACTTCTTCCACCAAGTTCCATCTTGAACTCCACCATCTCAGGGTCGCTGCATCCCAAGCTGCCCCCAACAGTGTGCTCACCTGGACAACGGCTGAAATCCCTTCATACAGCTCGCCCAGGAACAGGGAATCAGGTGATTCTGACTTGTTTATGATTTGTCTCTTCTTCCTCCTTTTTTATTTTTTATTTTTTATTTTTTCCTTGTGATGTCCCTGCTGTAGATATTAGCCTGTCGCTTCTATTTCTGCTTCTCCCTACCAGAACCTCTTTGGAGGATCTTCTTCCCTTACTAAAGGAGCTGACTTCCTCTTCGATTGTTTCATCTTGACTAAAGGGGTGACTGCTACCGTTGAGAGCTGGCCCCGTGGTTCAACCATGTCTGTTATCGGGTCATCAGACCCGGAGCCCTCCGGTTCCCCTTGAGGGTGCTGGGCAGCACCAACTCCCTTTGGCCATGCCCCAGCACACCGCAGCCAGCTGGAGGGAGTTCTCGAGCATTGCCAGGGCAGGGCATACGTCTGCCAAAATTTCTACCAGCTGTTTAGGATTTCACCCTTGTCCAGGGGTGAAGTTCAAAACCATCGGAGGAGACAGCCGTGACAGGTACCTGCCCGTATCCTCCCACACACCCTGCCACCTACCAACACACTGCCTGGGGGCAGATTCCTGAGTGGTGTTCATAATTAATTGTTTAACCTTAGGAAAAAAACAGAAACGTGCTCTGGACACCTAGCAGGATTATGTTGGTTACCCACAGACATGCAAAGTACTCAAAAGCCACTGTAATTACCTACAGGGACAGGAGGAGGAGGTACCGTTCCTTATATCCTCCACCAATTCACTTCCAGGGGAGATAAAAAGAGAGAAAAGTCGTTGATGTTCTCCAGGAGATAGTTCCCAAGGTACAGAGGTGACCGCAATGCGGGGCCTGAATACCAGATATGGTGCAAGGTCGGTGCTTTTGAGGTGGGCAGCTGAGCTCCACCACAGCTACTGCACAGCTACTGCAGGGCCTCAAGGAGAGGTATCGGGGTGAGACACCCCAAATGGGGGTGGACCCCCTGCCCTGTCACCATCGGGCAGAGGGAGGGGACCTGGGAGTTGAGGAGGAATGGAGACAGGTCCCTGCTCGACATGGCAGGCGATGCCCTCCCCTTCTGGCCCTGCCTTCCCAGGTGCCCTCACACAACAGGTTTGAGGCCCTGGAGCTTGAGAGACCCGTGGGTGAGGAAGAGGTGGAAAGTCTACCCAGGAGGATGCCTAGGGCGAGGAAGTCAACTCCACACCTCAGGACTGCCTCCACCAGGACAGAAAGAAGGGTGATTGTTGTGGGAGACTCTCTTCTCAGGGGAACAGAGGGCCCTATTTGTCGGCCTGACCCTACCCATAGGGAAGTCTGCTGCCTCCCTGGGGCCAGGGTCAGGGACGTTGCCAGAAAGCTTCCCAGCCTGGTTCGCCCCTCTGACTATTATCCTCATCTGATAGTCCAGGCGGGCAGTGATGACATTGAAGACAGAAGCCTGAAGGCTATCAAAAGAGACTTTAGGGGGCTGTGGCGATTAGTGGAGTAAGCGGGAGTACAAGTGGTGTTTTCGTCTATCCCTGCGGTGGGAGGGAGGAGTACAGACAGGACACAAAAAGCCCACCTGATAAACACATGGCTCAGAGGCTGGTGCCAGCACAGAAATCTTGTTTTTTTTGACCATGGGGCACTTTATTCGGCACCCAGCCCAATGGCCGCAGATGGGTCCCTATCCTTTAGGGGTAAATGGATCCTGGGCCAGGAGCTGGCGGGGCTCATTGATAGGGCTTTAAACTAGGTAAGAAGGGGGATGGGGCTGAAACAAGGATTGTTGGGGCTGTGCCAGGGGGAACAATGGCAAGGCCAGGGGATAAGGCAATGGCCCAGCTGAAGTGCATCGAAGGCGACGAAGCTGGTGAGGGGCCTGGAGAACAAGTCCTACGAGGAGCGGCTGAGGGAGCTGGGCTTGTTCAGCCTGGAGAAGAGGAGGCTCAGGGGCGACCATATTGCTCTCTACAGGTACCTTAAAGGAGGCTGTAGCGAGGTGGGGGTTGGTCTGTTCTCCCATGTGCCTGGTGACAGGACGAGGCGGAACGGGCTAACGTTGCAGCAGGGGAGTTTTAGGTTAGATGTTAGGAAGAACTTCTTTATTGAAAGGGTTGTTAGACATTGGAATGGGCTGCCCAGGGAGGTGGTGGAGTCACCATCCCTGGAGGTCTTTAAAAGATGTTTAGATGTAGAGCTTAGGGATATGGTTTAGTGGGGACTGTTAGTGCTAGTTCAGAGGTTGGACTCGATGATCTTGAGGTCTCTTCCAACCTAGAAATTCTGTGATTCTGTGATTCTGTGAAGACAGAAGGTCACATTCATCATACCATGCGGCCCTAGCACTGTTCCATACTGACACGAATCAGATGAACATATATCACACAAGTAAATGGGGTTACATCAGGCTGACGGGCAGTTACTCGTGGGGTTCCCCAGGGCTCTGTTTTGGGGCCAGTTTTTGTCAATGTTTTCATAAAGGAAAACATTGACATTTATTTTTATAAATGAAAATTATGTTATTTATTTTCATAAATGAAAGCATTGACATTCATAAATTTCATTTCTGTGTCTGGGGGACTGCTGCTGGAAACTGCAGCAGCAGTTTTATCCGACAAAACCCCTTTGTGATTGTTTGTCCTAGCAACTCACATCTCCGCAGGTATCAGTACAGGCTGGGGAATGACCTGCTGGAGAGGAGCTCTGAGGAGAAGAACCTGGGGGTCCTGGTGGGTGACAGGTTGTCCATGAGGCAGCAGTGTGCCCTGGTGGCCAAGAGGGCCAAGGGGATCCTGGCGTGCATTAAAGACCTTCTGTCTTACATACCCTTGTATAAGCACAAGTCTAAGAAAAACAGAGTGGTTAATGTATATAGTTCTTGTATCTTGCAAAGGAATTATCCAGCAATTCGTGTCAATAGAGAGCTTGAAGGGAAATGTATTTGTAGGCTTTTCCTTGAAGTCTCTGATATCTGGGGGGATTCAGAATAACTGCTAACTCTTATGACCATTGCATGGGACACTATGCAAGTTCTGATATCTGGCCAGGAGATTAATGAGATAGGGAGAGCTGAAGAACAACTAAAAGACAAACCTTCAGGGGACGCTGCACAGGTTTCCGACATACAGCCAAGGTGGACAAAGGAGAAGGACAAGAGGGAGGATGACTACGAGCCTTCAGCATGAGAGACCCCGAGAGACTCTCAGAGGGTCCACCAGAGACTGATGCGCATGCTCCAGTCGGAGGGTTGGGATTCCGGAAACTAATTATAATAACCCTGTTTTTTCAGAAGTAGTAATGAATATGTAGTAGCCTTGGAGCATAAAAATCAGCTGCTTGATGTAACGGGTGTGCGTCTTGGTGGAGCAGAGACTCCCAGCGCACCCAGCGCTGTTTGCTTGCCTCTATTCCTTTAATAAATCGTAAACTTTGATTATAGTCCTATTTTGAAGACTGAGCCATTTGTTACACCCAGCCCTGGCACAGGAGTGGTCCCTCGGACGTCTTAACCTGTTCATAATGGCTTAATTAATGCCTAATTGCTGCTAGACCAGCTGGCCCGTAGGGCACCTTCCTTCTGCATGCAGAAGTTAAACACCGCCGTGGCGCCTGCACCCATGCCCGTGCTGCCAAACCCTGACCCAAACCAGTGTTTCGGGGAAGGCTGGCAACCTTGGCACCCATGAATTTGGGATTTCCCGTGCCTTCAGCCCTGCTCTGGGCATGAAACCCGATGCAGGGGTTTTGGGGGTCACTGGTGGGCTGCGTTTTGGGGGCGGTTGCAGTTTCTGGGCTGGGCACACGGTGCAGGAAGGGTTTCTGCTGAAGCAAATGCCACTGCTGTCCCTCAGCACTGGGTGCCCAGCCCAGGCAGCAGGCGGCTCGAGAGGCTCCAGAATCAGTAAGATTATAAAGTAGGTATGTTTATTCAGCGCTGGGCGGCACAGAGGGTAGACCCACCAAGGTCAAGTGCACCCTAATGCAGCACCTTGCCTTGGTTATATGCAGTAGAGAGTTACATACGCATGAGGTTTCCCAATACACCTATACATATTCATAACCCGTCCCCGCTTAGTATTAAAATCAGTTCCAACAAGTCATTTCCATAAACTCCTCCCCTCTGTGCTTGCTTGGTGCCTTCTGGTGGTGGGCGCTGAGGGTCGTGGGGATGAAGTCAGATGTCTTCATCAGGGTTGAACTTTTCACCTCATCTCCTTGCGCATGCTCTCTGAGCCCTTGGTCACAGTCCGAGCCATAATGTTGATTTGATCTGGTTCTTGGGGTCCAAGAGCTCCTGTTATCTCGAGGTCTTGCAAGTTTGCCATTCTTTTTAGCAGTTCTCCTTATCTCTGAGCCCTTGGTCACAGTCCAAACCATAAGGTTGGTTTGATCTGGTTCTTGGCGTCCCAGGGTCTCCTGTTGTGTGGAGACCCAAGCGCAGCACAGGCACATCGCAAATGTAGCACATATTAAGCAATGAGTGTTGCCTACATATTCATTCTTAATCAATCGCTCTCTAATTTCTAACCCCATGTCTCACCAGGATGAAATCCTCCTCCCCAGGGATTTGTGCTCTGTTTTTCTCCACCTCCGTGGTGTTTATCCTCCTCTAACACCCGGAGCACGCCTTGTGCCAGGGCTGGCGTGGGGGGTCCCAGGATGGGACGGTCTGGTCGGCGCAGTACCAGGTCACTGAGGATGCTCACACGACCATACAGACGGTTTTTATTTCTGCTTTGCAGTGACATCAGCGTGTGCTTGGCCATTCTTCTGCTGAAAAAGCACGGAGCGCGTTGGTAGGAGCGAAATATGCGCAGCATTGTTCGGGGGAATGCTGCTGAGACGCTGTGAGCCCAGCCCTGACGGGTGCATTTAACCACCTTTACCCCTGCAGTGCGTAAATTTAAACCCCAAACAGGAGCTGTGTGCTATCAGCAAGTCTCTTTTAACTTGCATTATTTCATCTACTTTAAAAGACGACTCTCATTTTGGGGGCACGGGCTGCTATCTGCCATCCCGTAGCTGTGGTTATGCTACGTGGGGGCACTTTGTGTGTCAGAGCAGCTCGGGGAGCAGCGCCTTTCCCTGAAAACACACACACAGAGCCACATTCAGGGAGATAACCATGGAGGATCCCCGACAGCTGAAGGACTGATCATTCCCCTGTTTAAGCAACAGTGACAAAGGTCAAATCCTGCTTTTAATTGTGGCCGGGAAGCTGAGCACTGATAACGTGGGGTGCGGGCACGGCTGTCCCTGTCTTGTGTGAAAATATTTTATGAGATTCAGGGTGCCGTATAAAGAAACAGCCTGCTTGCTCTGCTGGCAGAAGACTACTCTTCAAAATAATTTAAAGCTCTCATTAAGAGTATAAGGGGTAAAAACTGTAGCCACAAATTGAAGCATTTGAAATATGAAGCTTAATTTTAAGAGTCTCTCTCACTGCCTTTCCAAAGAGCCACAGAGTTGCTGTAAGAAATGTTCCTGCTCGGCAGGCTTTAGAGAGGCATTTAACATAGGCATTGTCCTTTTTGGGGGAAAATGAAGTTTTTAAAGACTGGAGCCACTGTTGTGCTGGGCTCTGGCCTTTCCTTGAACACAAAACACAAAGGAGCAGAAAAGAGCAGCAAAGATACGAAGAGCAGAAGCTGTGCCTCGTGTCGACTCTCACGTGCAAATTCCCCGAGGGAGCCACCCTCGTCGGCTATTCCGAGATCTGGAAAAATGTGCTGGCATCTGGCTGCTTGGGCCACTGCTTTAACTGGGCATGGGATCACACCAGCACTGCTAAGGACATGTGAGAACAACTCTGCAGAAAGAACTCAGGCTCAGGCAAGGATCTCAGTGAAGTAGCAATTTTATTTGTGGTTGCAATGGCGGGCATCCTGCAAGCAGGAGCACCCAGTAAAAGTTTATCCTAACCTCACATTCCCTAAGACCTGACACCTGATTTCTTCCTTTTCCTCATGGGCTGAGAACTACAGGCTCACAGCCTACTCAACGCTCTTCTATGCCATACATGTACAATTTTATGTGACCAACTGTTAAGCTGCCCCTTGCCACGAGTCCCGCTGCTGCTGCCCACAGGTGCCCTTGCAGCCCCGGACCCCCCTGTACTCACAGCACCATCCCCTCGTGCACGGCCCCATCCAGGTGCAGATTCTCGATGAAGGAGATGTTTAGGACCAGGTTAGTTTTCTACTGCAAATAAAAAAACATTTTCTTTGTAGCATGTTTTACTGCAAGAACACAAGTTTTTTTCTCACATCCCTTTTTTTCTCTCCCCTGTTTTTTTTGCCCACACCTGCCCTTTTCCCTCCATGCCTACCCTCCTTCCCACTACCCCTCTCCCTTTCCCATAAACGACAACAAAAGGGACCAGGGAGCGTCCCCACCCCAGCGGTGGCACTGTTTGAAGTGGTGCCAGAACCACTGACACGGTGCCCACAGGTGGCCCCAGCGCCCCATGAGAGGGCTGCATATAAGTAACCCATGGGACGCGGGCAGGGGTTGAAAAACACCACCAAGTGGAGCAGAGGTAACAACTCGCTGCAGCTCCAGGGCTGCTGGGACCGGGCCGGGGGGGCCCTGGGGGTCTGCAGCCGGGCACCGGGGTCCTTCTGCGCATGGAGCAGCTCACCCTGGGCTGGGTGCTGCTGGCCAGCACCCTGTTTGGCACCACAGCCACTGGCAGCAGGCGAGATGCCCGTGCTATCTCAGAGAAGGTGATGGACATGGCCCGGTACTCCTTTGATGACCAGTACCAGGACTGCAGCCGCATGATGGAGGAGAAGCTGAAAACAGTGAACCGCACTGAGTTCAAAAACAAGGTGTATAAAGACACCTGGAAAAATGCATCCGAGCACTGGCAGAAGCAGTGGGGCAACTCCAACCGCCCGCAGGTGCTGCCGCAGGAGCAGGCGGTGGCCGTGCTGGCGTACACTCACAGGGGAGACCTGTCCAACCAGCTCAACACAGCTATGCATAAGGGTGGGCGCTCCCCTGAGCACTATCTGGAATCCTTCCCCTTCAAGACGCTGCATTTCCTCCTGACCGAGGCCCTGCACACCCTGAGGGATGACCAGGGCCGCAGATGCTACAACGTCTCCCGTGGTGTCAATGGCACCCGCTTTACAGCCCATCTCAAGGAGACCGTCCGCTTCGGCCACTTCGCCTCTGCCTCCTTGAATGAGAGTATTGCCAAGGGTTTTGGCACTGACACCTTCTTCGTTGTGAACACCTGCTACGGTGTCTCCATCGGGAACTTTTCCTTCTCCCCAGAACAGGAGGAAGTCCTCATCCCACCCTATGAGGTCTTCAGGGTCACCAACTACACCTGTGACAGAGACGGAACCGTCATCCATCTCCACTCCCAGACTGCGCTCAGCACCTACAACTGCGAGTTTTTGAAGGGTACGGGCAGGCAGCAGGGTGGGTGCCCCTGGGAGATGGCTGGGGACAGGGCACAGCCCTGGGCAGGCGCCGCCGTGCTCCCCGCGCTCCTCCAGCCATGGCTGCAGAGGAACGGGGGCCCCGTGCCACTGGCTCTGTGAGGGGAAGGGGAGCCTCGTGGTGAAGGCAACACCTCCGTGTGGGGAGCTCGGGGAGCCTGGGGAGCTCGGGGAGCTTGGGGAGCTCGGGGAGCTGGGGAGCTCGGGGAGCTTGGGGAGCTCGGGGAGGTGGGGAGCTCGGGGAGCCTGGGGAGCTTGGGGAGCTTGAAGAGCTTGGGGAGCTTGGGGAGCCTGGGGAGCTCGCCTTCAGACCAGGTCTTGGTCTGACGCACCCTGTTTGGCACCGCAGCCACTTGCAGCAGGCGAGATGTCTGTGCTATCACAGAGAAGGTGATGGACATGGCCCAGGACTCCTTTGATGACCAGTACCTGAACTGCAGCCGCATGATGGAGGAGAAGCTGAAAACCGTGAACCGCAATGAGTTCCAAAACAAGGTGTATGCAGACACCTGGAGAGAAGCAGCCAAGCACTGGCAGAAGCAGTGGGGCAACTCCAACCGCCCGCAGGTGCTGCCGCAGGAGCAGGCGGTGGCCGTGCTGGCGTACACTGACGGGGGACATCTGTACAAGCAGTTCAACACACTTGTGCGTGAGGGTGGGTGCTCCCGTGAGCACTACCTGCAACACTTCCCCTTCAAGACGCTGCATTTCCTCCTGACCGAGGCTGTGCACACCCTGCAGAAGACCCAGAGGCCCAAATGCAACAGAGTCTACCGCGGCATCAAGGGCATCCGCTTTATGGCACAGCTCAACCAGACCGTCCGCTTTGGCCAGTTCGCCTCTGCCTCCTTCAATAAGAATATTGCCCAGGATTTTGGCACTGACACCTTCTTCGTTGTGAACACCTGCTACGGTGTCTCCATCAGGAGCTTCTCCTTCTACCCAGAACAGGAGGAAGTCCTCATCCCACCCTATGAGGTCTTCAAGGTCACCAAAGTCATCTGTTACACAGACGGAACACACATCCATCTCGACTCCCATTCCAGGCACAGCAACTACAACTGTGCGCTGCTGAAGGGTAAGGGCAGGCAGCAGGGTGGGTGCCCCCGGGAGATGTCTGGGGACAGGGCACAGCCCTGGGCAGGCGCCGCCGTGCTCCCCGCGCTCCTCCAGCCATGGCTGCAGAGGAACAGGGGCCCCATGCCACCGGCTCTGTGAGGGGAAGGGGAGCCTCGTGGTGAAGGCAACACCTCCGTGTGGGGAGCTCGGGGAGCCTGGGGAGCTCGGGGAGGTGGGGAGCTCGCCTCCAGACCAGGTCTTCCCTGCGCATCCCTGCACGCTCCCAGCTGCTCTCCCTTGGGGTTTGCAGTGGGGGCCCTCTGTGGCACGGCCAGGGCGGGGCGAGGGGCACAGAGCGGGGCGAGGGGCACAGAGCGGGGCGGTGCACAGATGTTGTTGGTCTCTTTGGCAGAGAAAAGGTGCAAGGCCCAGCCGTGTGTTTTCAGCGCAGTTAAGAGGCGAGCCCCCAGCCCCTTCCCACGGCCAGCACCGTGCTGGCACCCTCCGGCAGTCATTAACTCCCTGTTCCCCCCCCCAGGCACGAGCAGTCCCAGGGAACCCCCACACCTCTGGAGTCTCCTCTTGGCAGCCGCAGCCCTGGCAGCCGTGGGACGCCTCTAACCCAGCTATGCTGCTGCTGCACCTCCGCAAGGAAAACGGGGCAGAAACGTGAGAACACATTTAATGGACACTGTGGGATTACGCTTTCCTCTGCCGGATGCTTTCTGCTCCAGCAGGAGCGGTGCCACCAGCCCCAGGATGCTCCGGTGGCCCTAGAACACCAGCAGAGGCTGGAGGAAGCCTTTTCCTGGCTTTTGCAGAGAAATAAAAGCACTGCTGGAGGATGGAGGCATCGAGGAGGGTTCCTGCGGCTCCCGGCAGCGGGGGCAATTTGCATGGGTGGCAGCCGGGGGTCTTCTCCAGCTCCCTCCCGGAGAGCGCTGCCCCGGCTCCTGCGAGGGGGCACGGGGAGCACTGGGGGCTCCTCCTCCCTGGGGAGCCTCCACGGCGGCTTAGGAGCAGGGATTTGGCTGGCACCTTGTGGTGGTTTTACCATGCTGGGCAGCTGAACACCACAACCGCTCTCTCACTCCTTAGATGAGGAGGGGGAGAAGTAAAGCAAAGAACAACTCACGGGTTGAGATAAGGATAATTTAATTAAAGGGAAATAATTATAATAATAATTAAAGAAAGATTATTATGAACTAAACTATTTAACTAAAGGGAAATAAAAAGGGAAAGGGGAAAAGGGAGGGAGAAAGGGAAAATAAAAAAAAAAAAAAGGAGGAAAACAAAGAAATAAAACAAATGAAGGCCATGTGGAAGTGCAGAGGAAAGAAATTACTCTCTACTTCCCACAAATGAGCGATGATTAATGACGTCCTTGAAGCAGGGCCTCAACGCACGGAGCCGGTGTTCGGGAGGAGGACCGACGTTTTCCCAACGAGAGCCCACCCCTCCCCTCTTCTTCCTGTTCCCACCTTTTATTGCTGAGTGTGACACCACATGGTATGGAACATCCCTTTTTTTGGTTTAGGTCAGCTGCCCTGGGGATGTTTCTCTTCTCACTTTTTGCCCACCCCCTAGGAGGGTTAGAGAGAGGCCCGATGCTGTGCCAGCACTGCTCAGCAGCAGACACAACCCTGCTGTGATCCCGCTGCTGTTACAGCTCCAAGTGCAGAGCACAGCACTGCTTGGGCTGCTGCAGGGGAAGTTAACATCCCAGCCAGACCCAGTACACACCTCAGCCCCCAGTGCCCAGATTCGGGCTCTGCAGGCGGGACGGACGGGGGCTGCCCCACGGAGCAGCGCAGGGCACTCAGCCAGCTCTGGCGGCACCGTGGGCACCTCGCCTTCCTCCTCAGCCCGCGGGTGTCCCCTGCCCCCCCAGCACACAGGTGACACCAGGCAGCCTCAATGCGCTTTAATGAATCCCTGCTGCCCCACAACCTGCTGTGGGCAGGTGCCGGGGGGCCAGGGGCACCAGGAGCCCCGCAGCGGGGCTGTGTCATCAGAGCAGGGCCGATGCCCTGGGGCTGGGCAAAGAGCCCCCACAGCAGCCTCCCGACCTGGGGATGGGCAGGGTGAGAGCCCCCCGCTCCGCAGCCAGCCAGGGTCCGGCAAGGGCCGTGCTGGGGGCAGCTCCGGGCAGGGGGGGTTAGATAACTTACCCAACAGACGCCTGGATAATTGAGGTCCACATGAGAACCAGTGTCCGGGATCACAAGGCTACTTCCAGCTGCTCATAGTATCCCCCATCGACCTCCTCCTCCTCCTGATCTGGTGACCTGTAGCACACCCCCACAACAGTTTCCCCCATACCAGCCCACCCCTTAATCCTCACCCACAAACTCTCCTCCTGTCCTTCACCCTCCCCCAGCTGGAGCTGGGTGCACTCTAATTGCTCCCTCACATAAAGGGCAACTCTTCCCCAGCCTGTCTCTCCTGAAGAGTTCATAGCCCTCCGTGACTGCCTTCCAGCCGTGCGAGCTGTCCCACCACGTCTCAGTGATCACACCAAGATCGTGGCCCCCGACCCTACACAGATCTTGGGCTCCTCCTCTTTATTTCCCATGCTCCATGCATTGGTGTAGGGGCTCTTTAGGGAAGCAGCAGGTGCAGTTATCCCTGGGGGGATGCAAGAAAAAGATTCCGGACGGGGGATTGGGATCATTACTTTCTCTGAGGAGCCCTCAAACAATCCCATCCTTGAACAAACCACTGGGAGGATTTTCCCTACTATCTTCAACCTACTACCCCAGATTGCCTTCAGCTGGGGGGTGCAAAAGCTACAAAATCCCCCAAATACAGGCTCTCCCCTGATTTACAGGTGTTTGTAATGACAATGGGGTTCACGGGTACCCCCCCAGCACCTTTCCCTTCCTCACAGCTGGCCCAGGGGATGCACCTGATGTTTGGGGGACCCCTTTTTATTGGGGGGGGGCATGCTGCCTGTGCAGGCAGAGGACACACAGGCATGTGGGGTGTGCTGGCAGAGGGGCCCCGTGTCCTTTGGGGGAGGGGGCTGGAGGGGGTCTGGGACCCAGCATGTGCATGGGGATGTAAATTCTAGGGGGGTTGGGGCAGCAACCCTTTGGGATGGGTCCATGGGGGCGTGCAGGGATCTGTGCCCCACTGGCTAGGGCTGGTTGGGGTGATTGGGGTCAGTGTGTGGAAGGATCAGTCCCAAAGCTGTTTTTTAGGGCGGGGGACCCCAGGCAGGTCCTGGCAGGGACTGCAGCTGGGGCTGGGGGGACCCCAGGACATCCCTTGGGCACGAAGGTGACGCCAGCCTGGGGAGGTGTTTGGGGTCGGGACCTATTTCTGTAGGGGAAGCGCCTGGCTGGGTCTCGTCCCAGTGGGTTCCCCACTTGGACCGGACAGCATCGCCCTCCAAAGCGTGCCATGGGATGCCAGGAGCTTGGCGATGTGGGCTCGTGGGTTTTCCTGGTGTTAAAAGTTGTCATTTTAGAACAGTGTCGGGCCACGCTTTGCTGGCGGGGAGTTAAAGGAGATCCCAGTTCCTGGGGGCTTGCATCTGCTTCTTCTCTGAGCGTGGTGCTCCTGGTGAGGGACTGCCTTCCCCTCAATGGCTCTGCAGTGGCCAAAATTGCTTTGTGATGGGCTTTGGGGGTGATTTGGCACCGCAGCCCAATCCCACACCCAAGATGCTTTCTCCCCGGCCAGCCAGCACTGCTCCAACCTCGGGTGCATGCTGCAAGCCCGGACGGAGGCACCTTCGCACCACTTACCCATGTTTCTTGTACTGGGCTCCCCGGTACAAAAAAGACAGGGATCTCCTGGAAAGAGTCCAGCGGAGGGCCACAAAGATGAGACGGGGCCTGGAGCTTCTTCCCTGTGAGGAGAGACTGAGAGACCTGGGGCTGTGCAGCCTGGAGAAGAGAGGACTGAGAGGGGATGTCCTCAATGTGTATAAATACCTGAGGGGTGGGAGCCAGAGGGATTTGGCCAACCTCTTTCCAGTGGTCTGTGGGGACAGGACAAGGGGCAATGGCCACAAAATGGAGCCCAGGCAGTTCCGCACCAACACGCGAAAGAACTTCTTCATGGTGGGGGTGACGGAGCACTGGGACAGGCTGCCCAGGGAGGCTGTGGGGTCTCCTTCTCTGGGGATATTCAAGGCCTGTCCCTGTCTGGACGCCTACCTGGGCAGCCTGCTCTAGGGAACTGCTTTGGCAGGGGGTTGGACCCGATGATCTCCTGAGGTCACCTCCAACCCCTCCATTTCCGTGATTCTGGGATTCTGGATCACAGCAGGGTTGTGTCTGCTGCTGAGCAGTGCTGGCACAGCATCGGGCCTCTCTCTAACCCTCGTAGGGCGCGGGCAAAAAGTGAAAAAGGAACATTACCACGCAGCTGACCTAAACCAACCAAAGGGACATTCCATACCATCTGGTGTCACACTCAGCAATAAAAGGTGGGAACAGGGAGAAGAGGGGAGGGGTGGGCTCTTGTTGGGAAAACATCGGTCCTCCTCCCGAACAGCGTCTCCGTGCGTTGAGGCCCTGCTTCAAGGACATCATTAATCATCGCTCATTTGTGGGAAGTAGAGAGTAATTTCTGTCCTCTGTACTTCCACACAGCCTTTACTTGTTTTGCTTTGTTGTTTTGTCCCCCCCACACCCCCCTTTTCCCCTCCCTTTTCCCCTTTCCTTTTTTTCCCTTTACTTAAAATGTTTTAGTAATAATAATAATATTTCCTTAATAATCATTTTTCCTTTTAATTAAATTATCTCTATCTCAACCTGCAAGTTGTTCTTTCCTTTACTTCTTTCCCTCCTCTTCTAACAAGGGGGAGTGAGAGAGTGGTTGTGGTGGAGTTCAGCTGCCCAGCACGGCAATACCAGCACACAGGCCCTGCTCGCTGCCATGTCCCCAGCGCTGTGGCGGCCCCCCTGGGTGAGGGCTCACCCCCTGCATGGAGCTGGGCAGCCCTGCGGTGCAGAGCAGGGCACTGGCTCTGAGCTGCCCTGGCTTTGCACTTTTATCCGCTCTGTCCCTGCAGACAAGATGGCAGCGGATGTTCTCCGGGTGTCTTCTGGGCTCGGAGCTGCTCCTTCTGCTCCTCAGCAGCTTGGGAAGATGAGGCCAGGGAGCTGCCAGGGGCCAGGTCACCCCAGACACCGTTGGGCCACTTGTACACAAAGCCAGGGCCACCTCTCCTCCCTGTGGGGCTGCCACTGCCCCCGGCCCCTCCGGGCACTGTCGCCACCAGTCCCGCAGCCGGCCCTAGGCCCGGCGCCGGCGGCAGCGCCGTGTTGTGGGCTGATCCCCGCAGGGCTGTTCTCTCGGGCACGCTGCGCTTGGCTCTGCCGTTCCCTCAAGCCTTCGGGCCTCGCACTGGGCACCAGAAGGCCTGCTGTGCTTGAAGCTACAGGCAGCTCAGCACCGCACAGCCGCTCGCTCCCCTCCTCCCCAGCAGGGCTGGGGAGAGAAGGGACACTTGGATCTGGCTGCAGGAGCTGGCACTGAGCTCACTCGCACATACAGAGGCCTCGCCAGGAGCTGGCACGTAGGCCTCTCAGCACGCGGACACATGGGAAAGGCTGCGAGTGTGCAAAGAGAAAAGCTTTAATGCGAGAAATGCGACGATAGGACACACAAACACTGACCGGCCCTGCTTTTTTATACCCCAAACCTAACCCCTCAGCAGGTCCTCCTGCTCCTCCTTCTCTACACACCCCCATGCCTCCACACAGCAGCTCCACGTTATTTCAAGCTCCCCATGGCTGCAGAGGAACGGGGGGAGCACGGCGGCGCCTGCCCAGGGCTGTGCCCTGTCCCCAGCCATCTCCTGGGGGCACCCACCCTGCTGGCTGCCTGTAC